CTCTCTCTCTCTCTCTCTCTCTCTCTCTCTCTCTCTCTCTCTCTCTCTCTCTCTCTCTCTCTCTCTCTCGTGTTCCCTCCGCTTCTCGCATCCGCTGCCAGCTCTTTCGGCGTGGCCGACAGAGCGCGAGAGAAAAATCGAGAGGTCGGGTGCGAGGGGAGGAGGGTGGAAGACTTTAACAAGAATTTCGCTTCGAGCCCGCGAGGAGTCGACGAGAGCAGAGAGATGAGACCGAGAACGAGAGAAGGAGATGGGGGAAAAAAGAACGGGAGAGTGGCGGGAGGGCGGGCAGGAGGGGTACGCGGACGCCCCGAGAAAAGAGCTCTCGTTCTCTCCCTCCCACACGCGGCCGGGGTGGCTAACCCATCATTATCGACAATTTATCAATAGCCAATAATATTATATTAAAGCGGCGGGCCGCGTTCCGCAGCGGCGTGGAAACCGCGGGCCGAAATTTCGCGCGAGCGCGCGCCTTCCGCCCTGCTGAAACCTCCGGCCGCTCGCCCGTCCCCCCTCCCTTCCTTCTCGATGCCGCCTCGCCGTCGTGGTGCCGTCGATCGGCCGCCGCCAATGCGATGTATTTATGTTGGCTCGATCATAATGTTTATGTTAGCTGGCGGTCGAGAAAGAGAAGGGACGAGAGGGGAGCGAGAGAGAATAATAGAAGGCGAGAGAGAGAGAACAAAAAGAACGGGGGCCCTTTAATCAGATCGCAGGTGGGAGGGCGCGAGAACTCGAACCGCGCGCGATATTACTCGCGTGTTGTATCGAGGCCGCGTACGCTCTCCTCTCTTCTCTATTTCTCTCTCTCTCTCTCTCTCTCTCTCTCTCTCTCTCTCTTTCTCTCGCTTTCGCACTCTCTCTCTCACCGACGTGTCCGACGTGCCGAGCATAATCTCGTTAATCCGCCGCGCAGGCTCTCTCCTGTGCGAGAGAGCGATGTAATTTTCGCCTTCTCTCGCGAGCTTTCGGACGAACGCTCGCGCAGCATAACATTTACACGTCGGGAGAGGTCAGTGCGATATCCACCTTTTCCTCCACCACCTCTTACTCCTCGTCTCTACGGCGTTCCTCTCCCCCGCGATGACATTTACACGCTGAGGAGATACGCGACGCGCGCGGCTGTTTTAATTTTCTTAATTGCGCCAACCATCTGCAATCTTTCGTTACATCGGCCTCTGCTTTTCAGCACGCCGTCGACACATACACACCAGCATACACAGACGTTTGACCGTGGGTGAATTAAGATCAAAGTAATCCGACGAAAGGGGTAGCTTTGCTAAGAGGAAACGCGTAGAACGACTCGCTCAAGCGGCGCAGAGATTTCCCGTATTCCCTAGAGAATGAGAGGGGGAGGGAGAGGATTTTTTCACAGGTACACGGTTAAGCTCCTGCAAAATAAGGAAGCCGGGAGAACGCGGAGGGAAGAAATTACCTCTCGCTCGTGTCGCGAGAGCGTAGGAGGACAGAGAGGAATAAAGGGGAAGAGAGAGAAAGAGAGAGAGAGAGAGAGAAAGGGGAGCGAGTGGTATTATTATTAGCCGAGCGAAGAGGCGAAAGAAGGAAAACTGCGTCGGAACGGCTGGAAGAAGGCGAGGAAGAAAGAAGGGTGGTACTTCGGCGGAGGGGGCTACAAAAATGAGTCGGTTAACTCTCGCCGGCACGCCCCGACAGTATTCCGGTCATTACGATATTTACCGAAGTCTTAAAGCGTCCGTAAAGCGCCAGCCGGCTGCGTCGTTTCTTAAACGGCCCGGCGTATAATATGCAAAGACGGCCGCGTCGTCGCCTCCACCTCTCCTCTCATCCCTTGCCGCTTATGTTTGCCCAAGTCGAGAGTTTTTAACCTCGATTATCCGAGGCGCCATCCACCCTCGCGCCATACCGCCACCGACATCTCCCTGCCCGTCCCACCGCCCTTCGTCGCGATACCGTCGCGATAGAAGCCGCGCGCTACCAGGCGCCCTATCTCCCCCCGCCCCCTCCCCCCTGCCGTGCTGTGGGGCCCGGGAGACTCGGCCTCGCTGGAAATTACCGGAGGGGATAATGCTATTTTACTTCTGGCTAATTGCGAGCCGCGGAAGACGGCATTACTCGTGCATGAATATTCAGCGACGGCAGCCGCGGCAGCGCGTAAATCTGGTCGCGCGCCCCGCGCGGAAATTGGCCGCGGCGGGCGGCCGCGTGCGTCCTCTCCACCACGTCAGGTGTCTTCCTGATCGCGCGGCGCCACCGCCGTGCGCGAGCCACGTGTGTGTCTCGTCCGTTACGCCGAGGTAATCTCGCGCGACGCTGATAACGCCCCGAGTGCTGTCCGCATCGCCGCCACTTTGTCGGCGGTATATGTGATAAGAACGATAAATGTTTTAAAATTGACATTTCGAGTGTAAACTAGTCAGTCAAAGGCTGTCAATTAAAGTAAATATTCAAAGGATCTGTATCTTGTATACATATACTGAGTACGCGAGTTTGCGCCGTTCAGAAAAATTTTGAGGAATATTGCTGTACCTTTTCGTCTGAACTTAGAAACTCGAACATGCGTGATTAGATTTCTCGCTGAATATGGTAAAACAAAGCAAGACACATTTATATAAGTTCTGTATACAAGAAATACGAAAAGAATAGTATGATTCTGTTAATGACGATTATCTCTATGTTATTATACGAGTTCGTCATATCGCTCAGCATCCCCTTAATTTTACAACAATCGCCAAATATTACGCGCGACAATTTCGATATGTATCGTGTGAATAACTATCATCATGATTTGATAGAGCAAAACGTCCAGTAGTATGGGAGTTTTAAAAAGCTAATAGTTCAATAATAAATGATAATTAATAAATTCCAATACACTTCAACTGTTGACAAAATCCGCGCAAGAGTGCTCGAAGCAGGTCGAGTGCCGTTCGTGATAGTTTTACGCTATCTGATGATCTCAAAAATTCGATATGTTTCGTGAACGTTTTGTGATTTCTCGAGCACCGAGTGTACTCGCTGTTGCGTGACGAGCGACGACGGCTCTCGCTTAGTGGGGGGGTGACTTTGTCGTTTCCGAAGGTGTCAATTGTTTTGATACTGTCGCGCGCTGCGACTTCTTCCGTGATGACGTCATTACGTCTCGAGCCGGCGAGTGATAAACACAGCGCGGCGCGAGGTACGTGTGTCGTCTGGACATTTCGCGTCGCGAGTGATGAAAATATTTCGTCAATTATCGAGCTCTCTCGACATCGCGTTAATTGTGAGACGCGTGTCCCCCATCGAATCTTATTGCGCGAGTGTCTGTGCCACTATCCTAGTGTCCGGGGATCTTATTCTCGAAAAATATCGATATTTCTATGAAAAGCTATAATTCATGTTACTAAGGCGACTAGGCCCGATTTTTCACCTTTTGTTTCAAATTTTTTCAAGTGCTATTCGGGACACCGATTTGTCATCATTTTCAATGATTCAAATAATTTTCGGACCTTTTTACTCTCCTCCTCCCGCCTCCCGCTTCACATATTTATGAAGTGTCCCGAATTCAGGGAAATCTGGTCATCTTACATATACCGCGAGAAGAAACGAGAAGATTACTTACAAAAGACGTCTTCACGATACGCCCCGGCGATCGCACATCGCTATTCTCGACACTCCCGAGACTTATTAACGCGCGAGACTCACTTTCGACGGATAAAAGACGCGAGAAACGCGGAGCGATGTGGATCTATGTGTGCCCATGGCTGCTGCTTGGCGCGAAAAGATTGAGCATTTCGCGCGATTCATTACCAACGCCTAGATTAAATAACCATGATGACAACCTCGTAGTGCGAAACGAACGCGATTGGTCTAGAGTGGTTAGTAACTCGAGCAAGTGGTTAAGGCGTCCGCCGTACAGATCGCGTCGTTGTAGACGCGCGATCTCGTTCGCATCACTGGCGCGTTCACATTTATGCACTTTTGGCGCGCTAATGAACTTTTAGTGTACGTGATTGACAGCGCGCGCGTCTGCGATCTTTTCATGCCGAGCAACTGCCATGGACACAACGCTCTGTATTCCATACGTCTTTCGCTTGTGTCCCGTGAGTCTCCTGCGGAAATAAATATTAGAGTGCCGAAAACAACGTCATGCGATCGTCAGGACATATCGTAAGTACATTATTACGGAGTAATCTCCTCCCTTCTCGACACATACAGCTAAAATGACCAGACCTTCCGATTTTTCCGGGATACACTGAGAGAAAAATTATCTTAAAATCAACAAATATTTCCTTGGTGGATGCCATTAACATATTTACTTAAATCTACATTCTCTTTACTTAAATCAAATATTGTTTATTTAAATCAAGTAAACAATATTTGATTTAAGTAAACAGAATGTAGATTTAAGTAAATATGTTAATGGCACCCACCAAGGAAATATTTGTTGATTTTAAGATAATTTTTCTCTCAGTATAGTCCCGATTTTTCACCTTTTGTCCCGAATTTTTTCGAGTGCTATTCGGGACACCGATTTGTCATCATTTTCAATGATTGTCAAATAATTTTCGGATCTTTTTATCTCCCTCCCCTCCCTTACACATTTATGAAGTGTCCCGAATTCAGGGCTGGGAAATCTAGTCACCTTAATGTTACGTATATTATAGCTTTTTATCGAAATATTGTATACGATATTTTTCAAGAATACGGCCCCAGAGCATCACGACGAAGTAGCTGGCGGCGGGATACCGCAGCAAGAAGCCGAGAAGGAGGATGCAGAATGCGGCCAACGACACACCATGTATCTCCAGGTGCGTCAAATTATTTATCACTCACGGTGTGCTCGATTTTAATGGAGATAACATGAGCTCGTTGAGATTGCAGAGGTATCACGAGTCGAAATTTAGGATCTGCTCTCGGAAATGCCGGTATTCATAAGTCGTCATTGATAAGTAATCATGAATTCTTGAATCGCTGTGATCATTCGTTAACCTGCAATTACTTCATATAACGTGAAATATCGATCGAGGCAATCGAATAACTGTCCATAAAGTCTAATCTGCAGTTAATTATATCCTTTATTGAAGACAGTAACTTGAGACTACGCGACGAATACCGGTCTCTGGGTCTCTTTCGAAAGTTCTAAGATTTACAGTTCTAACGATGCCTTTTCTTTCACTTCTGTTTATTTTTTCTGTTGTATCGAATCCAAACCCAAATCTCCTTTTGACGTATTTATAATTGTTATATTCTTGTTGTCAACTTTTTTTCCCTCTCATCTCTGCAAAATATCAAAATCTTTTGGATATTTCAAATGCTAACAAACTCACGTTTCGATTTGCAAGGCTTAGAAAAAGATGCAAAATTAAAATTTTCACTCGTCCTTCGGAGGAATCGGCAACAGAATAGCGTTGAATCTCTTTTCGTTAAGATTCCTGATCTCTCCCCGCGGAACTCTTGATTAATGACGTCAAAAATAAGGAAATGTGTGCTCAAATCCCGCAAAAAACCGCCGAAATTAATAGATATATTAAAAAAAATAACGCTTGCAATCGATCAAGTGCTAAAATATTTCGAACACTCTCTCCTCTTGCTCTAATAATCAATAACTAATCATAAAATTAACGTGGCATGACACTTTTAACCTACATTTCCTCATTATCTTCACTCTAAATTTCTTGGAGTGAGACTTCACTCCAAGGTAGTGAAAATTGCGCCAGTCGAAGTTAGAGCGAGAATTTCACTCCAAACGAGTGAAAACTCATTCCAAACGAGTAAGAACTCATTCCAAGTGAGCAATTTTTTCACTCGTTTGGAGTGAAGTTCTCGCTCTAACTTCGACTGTCGCAATTTTCACTACTTTGGAGTGAAGTCTTGCTCCAAGAAATTTTGAGTTCTCAACACACATTTACTCATTGTCTTATTAATTTCATAATCACTTATTTGTCAGAATGAGAGGAAAGCATTTGAAGTATTTTAAGAGAGAGATGCACTCCATCAATTGCAAGTGTCATTTTGTGGTTACGTATTTTTTCGACGCGCTTAGCAGAGATTTTGAGCACGTATGCCTTCTGATGTGATCAATCAAGATGGCCGCGGCGAGTAGCCAAGAGCCTTAACGCGGACCTCGCGGTGTTGAACTCGAAGCCGTCGCAAATAGCTTGGGATCGAACGCGATCGTTTCGCAATATCGCGGCGATCCACGCGCGTCCGCCTGATCGGTCCGGGTGCAATCTCGCGAACGCGCGCGCTTCTTCCGATATCTCCGACAGCGGAGGACGCCATACCTCTTCTCTCTTTCTCTCTCTTCATTCCCTCCCACTCTCTTACTCTTGCTTTCTCTCTCTCTCTCTCTCTCTCTCTCTCTCTCTCTCTCTCTCTCTCTTTCTCGGTGCCTTAATTTACAAGAGCGATCGCGATCACGGAGATAGCCGGGGCTTGTCGGGATATAATTTAGCGGTAGTCCGCTTCTATACACGATCTCCCCAATCAACCACTTAAGCCGACGATGTATTTACGAGGTGTTCTGTAATTTTCTCTAATTCGACGCGACTCTTCTACCACGGCCACCACGATGATTGCCGTAGCACGCGTAGCACCGTGCCGTGGTAACCGTAACCGGCCGCGATCGCCTGGATGCGGCGACCGGATGCGACCAGCCGCGAGTTCCGGTCGGCCGTTTAAGCCGCCGGCCTTTCTCTCTCTCTCTCTTTCTCTCTCTCCCCCTTTCTCTTTCGCCTCTCGCTCTTTCGCTCTCTCCTGATCGATCGAAATACAACGCGAAATCACCGCGTTACGTCACTACGTTCTATCGTTGCGAAAGCGCGATGTCGATTGATCTTTCGCTTTTGTTTATTCAATCACTTCAATAATGAGATGACTTGGAAAGTCTAAATATTTTATATAATTCTAACGCGTAAAATGAAAGTAAAATGAAAAAGTCGCTAAGAATCGCATATTTGATACACTTCTAACCAGAATCTATAAGTGCTGTGGAAAATTGGATTGGATGAGAAGAAATGGTACACCAGATCAATCCTAACCTGACCTAACTGTTGCCAAGATAGAACTGTTGTTATTTTTACTTGAAATAGAAAAAAAACAAAGCTACAGTATTTATCAGAGCTGTGAATTTTCTTGAGAAGGTCTTTCAGAAGCATGTAAAAAATCCTCTGAACCAGGCCAAACAATTTGGACGAATTCGGGACAAGTCAGCGTCCCGGATAGTGTTCGAAAAAATTCGGAACAAAGGGTGAAAATCCGAGACTATCTCGGGGAACGGGAGTCATCTTACACACGTAGGAAGTGTAGGTAATAGTTCCACTAATCGAATTTTACACGAGAGGAAATGGTGATCGTCAGGGCGAACCGACGATCGACTCGAAGGCTCGTTCTATTGTCGGCTTCATTAACGTTCGGCTGCTGCTGTTCTCCAAACGGGAAGATGGAGCGCGCCATTCGTCGGCGAGTCGGCCGTCTTTCTGGCCGACTAACTACGGCTGATGGCTGCCGCGACTCGTGTTCCGCGTGGACTGACCTCCCCCGATACAGAGCAGATGATTTAATGCCGGACAATCGATCTTCATTCGCGCGCCGTTTAGGATAACTATCACCCACGTGACTTCCGTAACGATATTACGTCCGCTCGGCTCGATCCTTCTCCCTCCTCTTTCTTTTCTCTCCTTTCCTCTCCTCAGTCCCTTTTTCTTCCGGCTATAGCAGTAACTCTATTAGGTTTACGTAATCGGCAATCTCGGTTTCACGATCGAATCCTTCTACCCGTCTATCACACGTATTTTCCTCGTCGTCCGATTAACAGGTAGCGGATCAATGCGTGCGTATGCATGTTTTATCAGAGCTGTGAATTTTCTTGAGAAGGTCTTTCAGAAGCATGTAAAAAATCCTCTGAACCAGGCCAAACAATTTGGACGAATTCGGGACAAGTCAGCGTCTCGGATAGTGTTCGAAAAAATTCGGGACAAAGAGTGAAAATCCGAGACTATCGCGGAGAACGGGAGTCACCTTACACACGTAGGAAGTGTAAATAATAGTTCCACTAATCGAATGCATGAATGTTTTGCGTATTAATAAACGATCGCAGCGATCGTTTCATTCTGCAACGTTCCACTTGCGATGTTTACGTGGACCTCGCCTCGAGAGCGATAATCCTCTCGCGCCGTTCCCACCCTCCCCCCTCCCTCCCCTTCAACTCCATTTACGTCCGTCGACGCGCTCAGTCGACGCCGACGAAAACACACGTTTCTCGTGGCCGATCGGCCCGATATCCGGATACATCGGGCGAGCCGGAGACTGGTAGACCGCGTGTCTGAAAGGATGCTAACTAGATGCTCGACCCCGAAAAGGGGGGCTCCGAGAAGAAGCAGCCGATCGGTCGGTTAGTCTCTCTCTTCTACTCCGTGTCTCTCTTTCCCTTACTCTCTTTCGCCCTCTCCATCTTCCGCCGCGCCTCTCGCGGCGACCAGCGACCGAGAGCGGGCTCTCGGGGCCCCTGCAGGAGAGATTAAAAAGTTAATAGGGGGCGTGCTGTGGGGGCGTGCAACGTGTACGTGGTGCCGGGATTTATGTCTGCACCACCGAGATATCGTTCCGGTCGAACGCCAATAGGCACTGCGTCGTTCTAAATCTCTCTCTCACTCTCTCACTATCTCTTTCTCTCTCTCTCTCTCCCTCCCTCCCCCTTTCTCTCTTTCTCTCTCTCTCTCTGACTCACTCACTCACACTCTTTCTCCCCCGACGCCCCCTCGGCTCTTTTCCTCCCCCGAGTGATTCGGTATGAAGCACGCCTTTATTCGCCTCGTTCGATCGAGACGAATTAACGATCGCCGCGCCGGCGCGACGTTATTGGTTGTACGGTATTACCAGGGGAGATTCCAGGCGAGAGACCGAGGCGAGGAAGAGGATCCGTTTCTCTCTCCGGAGATGGAGAGAGGAGGATTGATATCCTTTCGTCGTGAGACACCGGCCGAGGGCATTCAGGTGTTCTCGGGGTAGATGCCGGTGGTGTCATCCCGCTCGCCAAACTCTTCAACCCGTGCGGTCGCGTGGGTGACACGCGTCCAGTGGCCTTTTGCCTCGATACACATCTCGCGATGAGACTTGCGATCTGCCAGCGGTCAGTCTCGTAATTGCAACTTGCAAAAGCAATTATTATTCGCGGACAAGTGGAGAAATTCATCTAGAGAGAGCTAATTAATGTTTTCCCTATAGTAATCTCGGTCACGACCCTGTATCGGGTCTAAGATCATAAAAATTTTCACTACTCTACTTTCTCCGTAGGTACACGCAAAAAAAATTTCAGCTGTTGCAATCAAATAGGAACCAACTGAAAATTAGGTGATCAGAAGCGATATCTCTGTTATGAAAACTAATATTTCTGTTGTCGCAACCGAAAATATTCGTCTGAACATTCAACGATATTAGAATTTGGTTGAGGCAACTAAGAACAATTGACTATACAGAAGCCTCATAAAGGAATTTTTCTGTTCCTACAGCCGAGTTTTCGTCTGATCCCTGAGCAATCGAAAATTCGGTTGCACCAACAGAATTGTTTTTTCCGTGCAGGTTCTCCATTTCGACGATAAAAAGGGTGGCGCATGCGGCGCGCCAAAGCTCGCGTTCTTTTTCGAGACCTCGACAGCTCGCGGCAGCTACATAACACGCGATAAGACGCGATTCATCATCCCGACGGGAACTCCTCAAACATCCGAATAATTTTACGGATAGATAGGACGTTATCGCGCGGCAACGAGGCATAAGGAGAAACGCGTCATGGAAGAACTCTTTATGGGTC